GGAAGTGGCGCTGTGGCTCAAGTGGTAGAGTGTTAGCCTTGAGCTGAAGAGCTGAGGGACAGTGCCCAGGCCCAGAGTTCAAGCCCCACGACCAACCAAGAAAAAAAAAAAAAAGTGGGGACCACAGTAATTTCCAGGGTGAAAAAAAGAACTTTCTTTAGGACCAAAACAAATTATGTAACTTTTTTAAAGACAAATGTCTACATTTCCAAGGGACAGAAAAATCCCTTCCTGAAGTTTGGCAGGTGAGATACTTGGTTAGTGACAAGATGCCACTGGAGAACTCCTGCTATCAGCAGAGACATGCAGGGCAAGAAAGTATGTGTGAATGGGGGCGATTCCTTCTTTAATCCACTGCCTTTGGGATCCGGAGTCTGGTTTGAAGGCTCGGTGTCTGAGTTTCCTGCAGGCCTCCGTGGGGGGAGGGGGAGATGTTCTAGAATGGGCTGCTTACCGTCTGTAAAGGCTCTGAGCCAAGGGGAGGTTCCGCAGGCAATCCTGCAGCTCATGGGCGCTTCCTTGCTGCTGGAGAAGCCAGGGCAGCTCATCTGCACCCCGCCAGGTCACCCGGTCCTGACTGGAGAGAGGACGGAGCATGCTCAGTGACTGCTTCCTACACAACTCCCCCCACCCTCGCCTGTCTTCAGAGGGACAGTGGAGGAGGAGCCACCCATCACCCCACATGCCTGACTCTATGCATAATCCCACGCAGAGAAAGGAGGGCCAAAGCAGAAACTCAGCCAGCACCGATGCCTGTCATTCTAGTGACAGGAAGATGAGCTCTGGGAGACTGAAGTTCAATGCCAGTGTAGACAGAAAAGTCTGTGAGCTGTTCATCACCAATGAACCAGGAAAAAGGAAAGAAAGCCAGACTGAAGCTGGGCGCTGGTGGCTCACGCCTGTCACCCTAGCTACTCAGGAGGCTGAGATCTGAGGATCGCAGTTCAAAGCCAGCCCAGGCAGGAAAGTCTGTGAGACTCTTATCTCCAGTGAACCACCAGAAAACCAGAATGGTGCTGTGGGTCAAGTGATAGAGCCTTGAGCTGAAGAGCTGAGGGACAGCGCCCCAGGACGAGAGTTCAAGTCCCGCAATTGACCAAAAAATGCCAGACTAGAGATCTGGTTCAAGGGGTAGAGTGCCAGCCATGAGGAAGAAAACGGAGAGAATGAGACCCCAAGTTCAAATCTCAGTCCTGCCTCTTCTACGAAGATATCACAAACTTTACTAATCTTCATATAAAATACAAAGTCAATGATCATCTCAACTATTGGACATTGATGGGGAAGAAGATTCAAGACTGGAACACACTATAAAGAAGCTAAAACCCAGGGCACTAAAACGTGATACTTAAAAGGTATTTTTATCAAATTGAGCTTTTTTTTCCTTTTTAAACCTTCAGTAACTCCAAATACACAGAGATAGATGCACACATTTAAAAGAATAAAATAAATAAAATGGTCCTGCAAAGATTTCACCTTAACCTTTAACATAACATGAGAAGACTTGCATACAGAGTCATTTTTCACTCTTCTGGCACTAATCGGGAAAGGATCTTACTTTTGGTGGTGGTGTTTTTTCCCTTTGGGTAAGAAGTTTTTCTGCATAGAGAGGTGAGGACACACAGTGAGAGCAGGCAGGAGAAGTTACAAGCCCACACAGAGGTTTCCTCACCTTAGCTGCAGGGTGAAGTAGCTAATCAGCTTTTGCCGATAGGAAGAGATGGCCTGGGGCCCATCCATGTACTCCAGCCGCACTGTTTCCCAGGCCTGAGAATGAGAAAACAACAACGCTGGACTCTACTGAACCCAAAACAGAGTTTGTACCACAAAGTACCACAGGTCGAGAACACATTTGACATTTGACAACAAGTGGATGTTGAGGAATTTATAAATGATTTCACCTCCGTAGTTTTATACTAGAAATGGCCTCACAGTATTTTTAAATCTAGGCTACAGTCATGTGATATATTTGAGTAAAATTTCCTAAATGATTGTTTTAAGAACTCAGAGCACAATTTTAATGCAAGCTTTTTGTTAATTCATTTTCCCTCGGTTCTACCACTTGAGCCACGCCTCCAGCCCTGTTTAAATATGTATATATACTTACGTATCTTACATAAATTTATCTTACATATGTATGTTATATATACACTTATGTATATTACACAAATATATATGAGTCTAATATAGAGATAATATATAGACATAGTATATCTAATATATATATAGATAGATAAGAATCTCACAGCTGGGTGCCAGTGGCTCAAGTATGTCATCCTAGTTACTCAGGAGGCTGAGATCTGAGGATCACAGTTCAAAGCCAGCCCAGGCAGAAAAATCCCTGAGACTCTTATTTTCAATAAACTACTCAGATAAAGCCAGAAGTGGTGCTATGGCTCAAGTAGTAGAGGGCTAGCCTTGAGCAAAAAGAAGCTCAGGGACAGTGCCCAGGCCCTGAGTTCAAGTCCTAGGACTGGCAAAAAATGACAAGAAATAGGGTCTCATCCTGCCTGGGCTGGCTTCAAACCACCCTCCTCAGATCTCATACACTATAATGTGGAATGATACATTGCCACCTATCAATTACAGATCTTAGTCAGAGATGCTTGAGGGGTTGAAGGCGTGGCTCAGGTGATAGAACACAAGACAGAGAGCAAAAGTGTCAGGTAACCAAGTTCAAGTCCCAGTGTTGGACCAAAAAAAAAAGTTTGAAATACCACTCACCTGCAGATGCTGAAATCTGAGTAACCCACAGCCGTATGTCAACAGACACAGCTGGTGGAGGCTGTGGATGAGGGAGGTCAGCCCAGCCCAGGTCATCTCAGGATAGAGCTCCATTAGCTCCGACTCGCTCAGACCATTGTGGCTAATACTGACCAGGCAGAGGATCTAGGCAGAGAACACACAAATGATGGTTGCCAAGCACCTCTGCAAGTATCCAGCCACCAGGAAGATTGCCAAGAGTCTTTTAAGCTGATTACTTGTTATTCTAATGATCAGTAAATTAAAACAACAACAACAAAAAATACCCCACCAAAACCTCCCCCCAAAACAAAAGCAGGTTTCCTGCAACAAAGCGCATCTGTACAACAGACACCCAAGATTGACGACATAGAGAAAATAACTTGGTAAAAGTTAAAATTGCATGACACATGTTCTTAAAAGTAATGACAGAAGCTGGGCGCCAGTGGCTCACGCCTGTCATCCTAGCTACTCAGGACACTGAGATCTGAGGATCATGATTCAAAGGCAGCTCAGGCAAGAAAGTCCCCGTGAGACTCTTATCTCCAATGAACCTTCAGAAAACTGCGGAAGTGGCGCTGTGGCTCAAGTGGTAGAGCACTTGCCTTGAGCTGAAGAGCTGAGGGATAGCTCCCAGGCCCAGAGTTCAAACCCCACGACCGACACACACACACACAAATAATAACAGATTCCAATTCTGGGACTGCAGTGGAAGCAATAAGGCCTTCTGTGGCTGTTTGTGATCAGGGATGAGAGTGGCTGGTGCTGGGGCTGACGTGAGTGGGGCAAGTCGGGATCACTCCAGGCCTCAGGTTTCATGCCCACAGTGGGAGGGAAGAGGAGAGTTCAGTCGGGGCCGGGGATTCCGGCAGGAACGCCTGCCCTGTCAGGGCTGCCGGGATCTCCTCTTCTGTGAGCAGACCTCATCTGCCATGGGCACCGGGGACAGGAAGAAGCACGCCTGCCCCGGATTCATCAAAGCTGAGAAATCAACCCACAAATGGATCCTGCTTCAAATTCTGAGTTCAGCAAGGTGCTTAGATACTAATTTCCAAAAATAAAAATCAGAGTTGAATGTATTGAGCTGGACACGTGACTCAAACATTTAGAACACCAGCTGTGAGCAAGCAGGGTGGGATATATATTAACAAACAACTGCAGAGTCAACAACAGCAACAAAAAAAAAATGGGTGGTGCTGGACCTTGAACTTGGAGCCTTGTGCTTGCTAGGAAGGTGCGCGACTCCCAAGGCCAGGCCCTAGTCTTCAGAAACAAATGTTAAATGAGGTGCGCAGCACCGTGGAAGATGATAAAATATTACTGAGAGGAGTGATAGAAAATAGAGACTCGGCACTGGAGGCTGACTTAGCTGCTTTCCATGAAGGCTCGGCTCATTCTCCCTAAACGAATCTTTTAAGGTCAAGTACCATTCGCAGATTCTGAAATGAGTTCCGGTGGTACCTGCAGAGCACGTTTTGTTTATAAAACTGGATAAATATTGTTTGTCTTCTGCCTCAACTTCCCCTGACCCGCTCATGTCCAGATATATTCTAAAACTACAGAAAATTAATCCAAGCTATGAAGAGTAATAAGACAAGGAGTTATCAAACCATCTGTGAATGAATGCTTACAGCTCTAGTAACTTAGTGTGATATTAGCAAATAGGCAAAGCTGGAGACAAGGGGCCCAGAAACAAACTCAGTGTTATGTGAGAGTTAGACCTTTGACGGGCAGTATCCACACCAGTGCAGAAGATACACTTGGTTAATAAAAGGAACGATCCGTTAGTTATACGACACACACTAAGAAGACAACCAGTCAGAAGACAACCCAATTAAAAATGAGGTGAAGGACCTGACCCAGCCATCCACATGAGAAGGAAGGACAGTCAATGAAGACAAAATGACCGGAACTCTCAACGCTCAACAAGAGGAAGGCATTTCAGTGAGCACCCCAGAACTCGTGTATATGCGTGATGTCTGTTTAATGACACAATAAGAGAGCTGGTTTACTTCAATCCATGTAGCTGGGACAGGGTGAGCGTCCTTCCCTCCTGATGTGGGGTGCAGCTCACCTGTCTCATCAGCTCTTTGTGGCCCTCTTCTGGCAAGGAGTCATGGACGGAGCGCAGGATGAGCCTGTATAAGGACACGGTGTCTTCACACTGTAGACACTGGCAGAGCACCGCATCCAGGCTGCCCGCTCTCCCCGCACTGTTGGAATGGAGAATGCATTTTGTTTTCTTACAGACTGGCGACAAGGGGGAAAATGTGCAGAATATGAACACAAGGTGATGTTGGGAATTTGCGTGGCAACTGTGTAACACGTGCTAACCAAGAAGATAGGGCCAGATGACCATTTGGGGGGACCTGGGTGTTTTTTTTTAGGACACTATCTGATTCAAGACAGTAAACACGGGCAAGATCTATGTTCAGTGATTGCTAAGTACTCTGGTGCATGAACACCATACTACTCCTGCGATTTTTTTTTTCTTTTTGGCCAGTCCTGGGGCTTGAACTCAGGGTGTGGGTTCTGTCCCTGAGCTTTTTTTATTTTTTGTCAGTCATGGGGCTTTTACACTGGGCCTGGGTGCTGTCCCTCAGCTCTTCAGCTCAAGGTGAACACTCTACTACTTGAGCCACAGCGCCACTTCTGGTTTTCTGCTGGTTCATTGGAGAGAAGAGTCTCATGGGAACTTTCCTGCATGCAATCCTCAGATCTCAGCATCCTGAGTAGGTAGGATGACAGGCATGAGCCACCAGTGCCTAGCTCCCCCCTTCCCTGCTTTTCAGCCTCTTTCCCTCTCTGATTTATTATTGTTGGCAGTACTGAGGTTTGAACTCAGGACTGCACAGGTGCTGGGCAGCCACTTTGCCACCTGAGGCACACCTGTGGTCACAAAGTAACATCTTTCTTTATAACTCAACTTTCTCCTCATGTTCCCGTGAGCTTAGCTGGCGGGAAGGAGTCTCCTGCATGGCCCCACTTGCGTGGGAAGAGGCCTTTTGCAACCCGGTAGGCAAAAGGGTCAGTGTGTGGAAAATCAGAGCTGTCCATGGACGCTGGGAGGCTGGTGGGGCTCAGGCAGGTGGGAAGCTTGGTGGCCGCCTGGGGGAGCACGGGTGGGGGAAGCCCTTGGCTCACAGCACTAGGCCTGAGGGCGCGGGGATCACAAAACACACAGACGGCCATGAAGGGCCACCAGCACTTACCGAGCCATCATTTTGCCAAGAAGAGTGACATGCAGGGGATTACAGGTGGTAGCCGAGCGACAGTGCCTCTCCAGCTGCTGCTCCTGCCCACGCAGCCAGAGAGACAGAGAGGAAAGAAACACCGAGACCCAGAATGAAGCAGCCTCCACCTGTGGGCCTCACACAAACCTAAGCACAACTCTGGCCTTAGGCCACCTGCTCAGAGACAGCCACCCAGCTGCACACAGCAGATACAGCCAATGGGAAAAGGCACTTTTACTTTGATCGGTTGTGGGTCTTGAACTCTGGTCCCTCAGCTCTTCAGCTTGAGGTGAGCACTCTACCACTTGAGCCACAGCGCCACTTCTGGTTCTGGTGGTTCACTGGAGATAAGAGTCTCAATGGACTTTCCTGCCTGGGCTGGCTTTGAATCTGGATCCTCAGAGCTCAGCCTCCTGAGAAGCTAGGATAATAGCATGAAGTAGCATGTCTGGCTCCATATCCAGAATCTTTTTCATGGTTTAATATCGTTAAGGAGGGAAGGGATGCATTTACCAAAGTTACTACTACATTCCCATTTCTTTGGAACAACAGGCTTATCCTGAATTTAACTATGACATTAGGTATTTTCTCAGAAAGCGAAGATGGAAGGTGGCATCAAAATGTAAAACCCTCACCTGTTCTTTGCTCAGCATGATGTCCACAGATTGACATTCAGCCACTATTATATGTTTTGCATCTTTTGGATTTAAAGGGTCAAGATGAAGCGTAGGCCACAACCTTTTATTTAAAGAAAAGAAAAATGAAAATTCTATTAAATTGGAATTCCTAGCCCCTTTCCACAATTTTTCTTTTCTTTTTTTTTTTTTTGGTACGGTCGTGGGTCCTGAACTCTGGGCCTGGGCGCTGTCCCTCAGCTCTTCAGCTCAAGGCTAGCACTCTACCACTTGAGCCACAGCACCACTTCCGGCTTTTTTCTGTTTTGCTTATGTAGTGCTGAGGAATCGAACCCAGGGCCTCATGCATGCTAGGCAAGCGCTCTACCACTGAGCCACCTTCCCAGCCCCTCCCAATTTTTCTTAACCATACATTCAACACCATTTCCTCTGATCTAACATTGGCAATGTAATTCAACCACATTCAAAAAAATATACCCGCTGGGCGCCGGTGGCTCACGCCTATCACCCTAGCTACTCAAGTGGCTGAGATCTGAGGATCGCAGTTCAGGGCTAGCCTGGGCAGGAATGTCTGTGAGACTCTCATTTCCAGTGAACCACCAGAAAACCAAAATGGCGCTGTGGCTCAAGTGGTAGAACGCTCACCTTCAGCTGAAGAACTCAGGGACAGTGCCCAGGCCCAGAGTTCAACACCCACAACCGACAAAAATAAAATAAAAGCACACACAAAAAAGGCTTTTCTTTGTTTGTCCTCCTAGCATTCCACGGAAGGGAAGCGCCCTGAAGTCAGTGTACCTCCAGGCTGCAGGGCATGTTTCCACATTCACAGAAACCACGACTCTGACATTCACCGGCAGGGGATCGATCAGCCAGCTCATGTGCTTGTCTACTTGCTGCAGAATATGAGAACGGAAGGCAGACGACTAATCAGAGTATTTCAACGCAATGTAAGAAGAGCCCCCCGATGAACAATCCAATTCTTCTTAGGTGTCCCTTCAATGAGAAGGGATACAAATCTTATTTGGGGGTTGACGCCTGTGATCGTAGCTACTTAGGAGACTATGATCCAGGGGATTCCAGTTCAAAGCCAGGCTATGCAGAAAAACCCGTGGTACTCTATCTCCTGTTAATGGGCAAAAAGCCAGATTGCAGGTATGTCTCAAGTGGTGGAGTGCCAGCAATGAGCAAGCAAGCAAACAGTATGGGGCCCCCAGTTCAAGTGCTGGTATCAGCGTACACACACACACACACACACACACACACGCACACACGCGCACACACACACACATCTGTGTGCACGCCCTAAAATATATTAAAAGAAGTAGTTTCTGCTAACAGTGTAAAATGCTTTTGATCTCTTCTAAGGAGATGGTGCTGGCAGACAGGAACACATTCGGGCTTTTCCACAGGCTTCCTCGTCAGAATGGGCACAGGCGTCCTAGCGCTCTCCACTAAGATCCCACAGCTAACCTCACCGTCCTGCAGATCAGGGAACAGCAGCAACCACTTGCCGCCAGCATAGACCTTAGATTCCTGCCAGAAGAGCCTCGAGTGGGCAGAGGGTCTGTCTTCCTTTTGGGGAGGGGGGGGGGACGGGTGCAGATGGAAAGGCAGGGGACACCCGTACCTGCACCTGATCGATGGAATCGATGACGATGAGGATGCTGCCCTGATGGCGTGCTGACAGCTTTTCTAGCCAACGTGGGAATTCTTCCAGAAGCTTTGCAGGGTCCAGGGTTGGTGCAGATACTGCCCAGGAGTGCTGCATCAGCTACAAGGTAACATGCACAAAGGAGAGTGGAGCTCCGGGAGGTCTGCTTGTCCCCTCCCCCCCCCCCCCGTTCCCCAGACCAGCACCGAGTCCCTAAGGGAACGTGGGGGTAGTCATGGGGGTAGTGAGGGGTAGTTCTACATGGCCCAGATGCCTATGAATGGTCATGAAAACATGTGAGGTATAGACCTGTATCTCATATGTGCACCTATAGATATAGATATATCAGATACAGAGAGGTATGTATATCTATGCAGCCGGATATATAACAATATCAATAGCTATTGATCTATAGATATAAATAGGTCTATCAACTGTATTGATATACATTTACATACATCTGTATAAATATCTATAAATATAGATATATGTATATCTATATAAATATATATGTAGGGGCTGAGAAGGTGGCTCAGTGGTAGAGGGCTTGCCTTGCATGCTCGAGGCCCTGGGTTCGATTCCTCAGCACCACATAAGAAAAAAGAAAAAAAGCCGGAAGTGGAGCTGTGGCTCAAGTGGTAGAGCACTAGCCTTGAGCTGAAGAGCTGAGGGACAG